GAACCACTTAAACCTACTTTTTTTTTCACCTTTGAGGTGTGAGAGCTTGAATGTACATTGAAGTGTGTACATTTTTTTTAAGAATGAAAACAGTTTAATTGTGTTGAATTTGTCTGGTAGCTAAATTCTGGTGCCTAGGGCAGAGCCTGACACCAACACTATTTTTATAGAATTAAAGGAGACTTGTTTTTAGTACATTAACAATATAATGGCAATGCACTTTTAAATAATTTCTTCTGATGATAGGAACCTGATTGTTTTGCCATTAAGAAACATGAGAAATACGTTGAATGCTTTTCTAGAACATAAGAAACAGAATGCTACCTATACATGCTGTAGAAGTGGTGTAAGTATCCTTGTAGCCATGGTGGTGCAGGGAAAGTGCAAGCAGCAATATTTATTTGATATCTTTTTTTTTTTTTTTTTTAACCAACTGTATAGTTCAGAGAAATGTTAGACTGACTTCCAGGCACAAAGTGCTGAGGAAGGCCATTTTGTGCTTGAAAGCTTGTCTAATGTCTCTCCCAACTATAATGTTGCCCAAATAAAAAAAAATAATTTGCCTCTTATAAATTCTGTGACAGGTTGAAACCACACTGTCCACAGTTCATGTGGGATGCAGAATACAGTTAATATTCAGAAAGAAATTTAGGAATAATATGAAGCCCATCTGTTTAAACTCAAAGGCAATATAGACAAAAGCTGTCTGATATGCTAACATCTTCAGTCAAAGGGTTTAATCTTAGGGTGAGCTTGCAGATGTAACCCCCCCCCCCAAATGGCACTTTAAACTCAGCACATTCCTGCTCCGAGCCCCACCCATGCCCAGAAGAGGTTGTGCATTACTTCAGTCTGGCTCACCCAACATCTGTAAAGATCAGGCACTTTAGTGAAGCTTTTTTTGTGTGCTTTTATCTAATAGCTGATTGATTTAGCTAAAAGCACCAAACAGCCCCAGTGAAGCACCCAGTCTTTATAGATGCTACAGAGCTGGGTTCCAGCTGCTTTTTTCAGTAAAGCATGTTTTGGGGGTTTTTTTAACATCTGCAAGCAGCCAGGGTGACCATACGGGACAATGTGAAATCCAGGAAACTATGCACCTCCCTCCCCTCCACCCCCCCTTGCTGCAGGCAGAGGTTGGGGTAGGACACCAGTGGGAACCAAGGAGTCAATGGCCCATTTAGGACCCATTTTTCTTTACTTCACAGGTGTTAACAATTCCCTTTTCAAAGGCCATTTCACCAATCAGGATAACCTATTAGGGCAATGTTGCTGTTTGCTAGGGCTTCCTATTTCACAACTCATGCCCAGGACTCTCATTTTAATTTTTACTGGCCAGCTGAGACTGGTTTCTAAAATCCTTGACTTTCCTGGCCAAAAGGAAAAACAAGCTCCAGAAGTTCAAGGCTTTTACTTTACTGGGCATCAGAATGTACCAATTTAATCAATGTACTCATTTAACTCTTGCTGAACAGGAGGATGTCTGCTCTCCGCATTATTTTTTTCCATCTTATTATCAGCTCTACTTTATTTGCAATATACCTTGATTTTTAATAAACCATTTGAATCTTTGTCGGTTCTCTGGAAATGCTAAGCTGTTCAGCCCTGGGAGGTGAAACAACTTCTAAACTAAAAAGAGACACTAGTGAAGGGAGGGTGTTTGCCATGGGTGCTTAAAACAACGTTGGCTCCATTCATAATTGCAACCTTTGGATAACAGGGCAGTATACTTACTAAATGTTTCTACTGATGAAAAAGTACATGCCTATACCAGAAGTACATCACCTGCACGGCACCAGCCACATGGCTGCGTGGAGAGTGCCTAGTTACCTAACATGATACCAGAATGTAAAGGTGTAAAATTTTGAATGTCCCAGAGGTCAGGGAGGTTTGGGTGTGTGGTGTTGGCTTGCCCTATTATCAAGATAGGCTGACATTAGCCCTGACATAGTGGGGATTACGGAAACGTGGTGGGACTCATCAC